CCCCCCTTCTGGTATGTACGCACATGAAACGGTGGCAACCCATCTTCTTATATTTATTTATTTTATTTTATTATTTTTTTAATGCACACTGTTTACCTGCAGGATGCACAAAAAGTTTACAAACAAACTGATCTGCCCTTTCTGTTCTTGGATCAAGAATGGGTTATATAGTTAACTATATAACTGTATGACTACACTCTCCTGCAACACAGCAGAATGCAGCAGAGAGCTGATACTGACTATCAGTGACACGTGAAGTTATTTTGGTGACACTGACGTTTACACTGAAACAGCACATATGCATTTTTGTTGTTTTTCCACAGTAGCTACACATTCAGACCAGAGGACAACTACTTTAGATTAGCCTGAGTTTAGAGTTTTCTGTCTACTTTAATGATGGTCCTGTTGGTGTCTCAACAATGTGTGTGTTCTTTACTTTTCCACTAAACCTTAAAAAGTGAAGCATATATTTCCTTCACTATATAAAAAAATGTGTTTCCTTATAAACATGTGTGTCCTTGTGTATTTTTGGCCCTTAAGTAATTTTTTCTGTTGTGGGGTTTCTTTCCCTTACTTTTCGCTTTTGTTTTCCTCATACTTCCTTTTCCTCCTGTAGTTTTTAAAGATTGTCCTCAGGTTTCTGAGTTTGCTCCCTTGTAAGTTAATTTGATTAATTTGAGCGTTTTCTCAAGCAAGTGTAAATATTATCCAGGCTTAAATGTGTTGTTTTAACTCTGTATCAGCATCGATCCTTGTCCAGCACTGGCTCGTGCTCTTTTGTTTACCTGTAGCAGAGCCCAACAACACGCCCCGACTCACAGTTTGCTCCAGCTTACACACAATAAGCGAAAGTATTCGAGCAAAAGTAAAAATAAAACTGTTAGGTACCAAAAGTAAAAGAAACCGTGTCCAACTGACTTACCTTGATCTTGTAACTGCGAGGAGCACCTGGTGACTAAAGACTGCCATTGTAGGGGCAGATTACAGTACTCTGTTAAACGGAGAAACAGCGAGGTTAGAGTTCACTCTTATGGGAACAGAAGTGAGACAGAAAACTACTGTAGTGCTAAAACTAACATTAAGACGACGAGACAGCAAATGAGCCCGATATTATGTACCGTAACAACAGTTTTAACGTGACTACTCATCTGAGAGGTACCACAGACTTAACTCTACCAGTTTCCCTAAAAAAATAATCTAACCTAAAAGAAGACCTTAAGAAATGAACCCAAACCTTACTCCGCCTCTTTTTAAAGGCAGTAATAAAAGGACGTAACTTGATACCAAAACCAGGAGGGGTAAATTCCCAGGGTAAATTTCCGCCAGAGAAACACAGCCCTACGCTAGGCTAGCCGCTTAGCTAAAGTGAGCTAACCGGCTAACATAGTCGGTTAGCTGCGTTAGCTTAGCCGGCCGGTGCTAACTAAATGGCAGCCCACCAACCTCCAGCGTCGATGACCGAGCTATGGCTGCCGTAGCGGACAGGGCGATGTAAGGTTTCTCGGTAGGACGACAATAATATCCATCCACGGCACTCAATCCATGTAGAAGGGAACGATGAAAGTAACGGCCGGTGTAATGATAAACCCATTTACGGTGGGTTTCTCCGTCGAAAGTGCCCTCAGACGCGACAGGGTTGAGCTTCTTTACTGACAGTGTTTGTGTGTTTGTGCAGCCGTCACAGGCAGCTGCACTGAAATGTCACACCGGACATGCGTAAAGGCTGTGTGAGAAGTGTCAAAGATCGTCTGTGCTAGCAGAGATGGCTCACTGTGTGGGCGAAAAAAAAAGCTTCTGCTCAGTGAAAGAGGGTGTTACCCTTCTTGTATTTGTTCATTTTCAGTTTTATGATTTATGGATGCTAGATGACATCTAAAAAAGCACATATAAATCAATGAAATGAAACAATCTTTACTTTCATATTGATGCTGTCAAACGATTTCATATTGAATGTGTTGTAATCAGTGTAACTAATCTGCAAGACAGTGGTGAGGTGCGCAGTAAGAGTGGCAGATGAATTCAAGGTGGGGCTGGGATTATATCAGGGATCTGCCCTGGGCCCCTTCTTGTGATGTCTCTGTAGACTATAATGTTTGCAGACAACAGTGTAACCTGTACTGAGAGTAGGTGCGAGAGAGCCCGGATAGGTGGAGGTCTTCTCTGGAGAGAAGATGAATGAAAGTCAGTAGAAGCAAGAAAGAATATATGCGTGTGAATGAGAAAGAGGCAGGTGTAGCAATGAAGCAGGAAGGAGAAGAAGGACCAAACGTGGAAAAGAGTCAAGCATCCAACATCTCCAGGATTAGTTGAACTGACATGTCTTCAGGATATAAGAGGATACATTTAAAATGTATCTTCATTAGACAAATACATCAATATATCCCGTCTTTTAGACATACAACGAAACTAAACTAGGAAAGCGAGCCAGTACTGCTCATTAAATTTGTTTTGTTTTTGTTGCAATTTTAAGGTCTTGTTAATTCAGAAAAACTCGACTTTTGTTTGTCAACTGATAGCAATTTGCCCTCTCACATCAAATCAACTCTGGATTGATTCTCCTTCATTGGTATGCTAGTGTTTAAACCTGCAGTAAGCCACCAAACAAGCTGTCCCTCAAGCTTTAAAGTTAACTAATGCATGATGGAGTCATGCACAGGCCTACTCACATGATTACTCTGGAACAACTTTAAATTGCAGTGGTCATTTCTTTCGCTTACACTGGTCACTCAGACAGAGACACCTTGTTGCCACAGTGTCAAGTATTGATCAGTATTCCTTGATATTTACGTCAGACTGTTCAACTGTTTGCCTTTTATTGTGTGTTTTACTTGTTATCCATTGGGCTATTTATATTTCTTGCACAGTTGTTGGATGGAGCATCCACAATTCCAATGTATATGTACAACAAAATAATAAAAAGTAATTCTTTTGTATTCGATTCATGCTAAAATAAAGCCACTGCTAATCAGATGCCTTCTAGATGGAATTACATGGTGGACCAAAATGAGACCGTACCTTTCTGTTTTATAGAGCGCATGTGTTTTACACTCACTGTTGTACTGCTCTCCTGACCTCTTCGCTACATATTGATGATGTTTTAAATCACATATTTCAACTTTGGAATCATCTGATGAGGCTTCAGCGACCAAAAGATAGATCAGATGCATCCCATAGGTCCTGTGTGAAGTCGCTCAGATACTGCTTATCTGCTGTAGATAGTTTTGTTTTTTTTTATTTGTTGTTATGCCTACTTATTTTGTCCTACACTTGTGCAGTTTCCTCTGGGTTTTTGTTTTTTTGGGGGGGGGTTACATTTTTTTAATGTAATAGCTATTTTGAAATCATGTTGATTCAAAAATATCTGTTAAACTGTGTTATATTTTACATTTTTAATACATTCAGCTAAAGAAATGGGGGGTAAATGTGTTTTTGCATCAAGCTGCTACTAACAAAGGGCCTGAAGATATATTTTAAAATTAGTTCTTTGTTAAATTTTCTGTTATATTTCGACACAACACTGGTTTATTTATCATTTGTATTTGGTGCCTGTTTTATGCTTTAATGATTCACAGGTCAGTGTTAAATGGTTCAGTAAATAAAACAAAAAAAGCAGCAATTGATCAGTTTTCAGGCACCTTCAGTTCCCTCACAGTTTAACCTCTATTTCTTAAACTATTGTGTCGATTCTGGGAAATACGCATCAAAAGAGAAGGTCAGAAGCCAGACTGTTTTTCTAATTTACTGGTTCTATAACTTCTTCTGCCATGCTCTACTTCACACCTGCCATACCATTATTTTATCTTTTATGTTTATTATTAATAAGCAATGACAAAGACCAGGTTGAAATTTTAGTTACACGGACATCGGTGGAAGTAGCACACTGGTTTTTAATTGAGCCACAGTCTGAAAATTGCTGCTCCAACTGACAGAGATTTCTCATACACAAAAGTTTGGCGTTTTCTAAGGAAGCATTTGCATGGTAGAAACCGGAGACAGAGCACAATCTGGCAGACAAACAGTGACCAGATCAATACACAAGATAATGTTCAACAATAAGAAAGCTGCAATTCACACATATTGTCTTTGCAAAAGCCTTTAGAGATTTGACAGATTATTCACAAATCAATAAAAAAGAAAAAACAAAAACCAGATATTTTAGTAGCAGCTGTTGTGTTAAACATTAAATCTTGTGTTTTTACATCTTTTTTTTTTACATTATTATTTAATATTCATTATTATGCATGATGGATGTTATGCTTATACCGAACTTTAAATTACTTACAGTATAAAGCATGTAAAAGTCAAACTGCTCTAATATAGAGCACTCCCTCCAAAAAGCACAGTGTACTTACAATGTAAGATGGGAAAATATTGTTTTTGCCTATATTTAAGTATTTGTGGGTAAATAATGACAATAATAAATTACATTGTAATTTCAAATAAAATACATTAAAATTCCATTTAATTACAGGACTGTATTATAAAGTATTATCCATGTGTTTGGACTCCCCTGTATTTGGGGAGAACATCCATCCACCCTGGATTTAAACCTGGCACTTTCTTGCTGAACGAAATCCTTGATATATGAAAGGAGGTGTTCCTAATAACACTTGCAGGAACAACATGCAGGAACAAGAAACAAGAGGCAGAGTGACAGCTCTTTCTTTTTTCCACCTCCTCCCCCTGAGAAGCAGATCAGGCGAGGAGGCGCGTAAAAGCCAATCGGAGAGCCTGCTGCAAGCGTAGATACATGGTGCCGTGGACACAGAGATAAAAATATAATAACAATAATGATTTTTTTTAAAAATCAAATATTTAACAGTGTTTATCCACGATACGAGCAGTAAAATGTTCTTGTGTAGCCCATTAAAAATAAATGAAACCCCCCACACATGCGTTTCCTCCTTTATTTCCGTGCATTTCAGATGCCTTTTTCCTCCTGTTTAACCAAATGTAAGATATAAACTACAGCTCCCGGGGTGCCTCTGGTGACCCTTGCTTGCAGGCTGCATCAGTGTGATTTTGGCGCTGAGCTGAGGAGCTGGATCCACCGAGAATTTAAAAGAAAAAAAGGGCAGAGCGCTTTTGTTAAACCGGAGGAAGAGGGTGCTAGAGATTATTATGAAGAAGAGGACAGGAAGGGGGTTGCGATCAGATTGAGGTTTTCGGGTCCTCGCACTGACGAAGAGCCCCGCGTTGGGATTGGGCAGCGACCAGATCGAGTCCTCCTCCTCCTCTCTGTGGAGAATTGCGTTAAAACGAAAAGGCCTGAGCTTTACCAACATCACAGGATTATTATTATTATTTTATTATTATTTTGTACCCCCCTCCTTCTCCTTCTCCTCCTCCTCCTGTAGATTAAACGAGGAAGCATTGCTGGCTGGTGTATGTGTTTAGAATGGGACACGCTGAAGGTATTGACATTTTTTTGTGTATTTTCCTGCATCTTTCGACTCGCTATCAAAATCCGTGCTGCTGCTGGTGCTACTGCTCAGTGTTGGCCGCCTCTGCATGTTGCATCTCCTCGTTTTCAGTCGTAGCCAGCTTGCTTTCGGGCACATTTTCCCCCCACAAACCGTCAGTGATGGAGGTATAATCACGGCAGACAATTTGATTTAAAGGGGTACCAGGCAGCCATATTGGCAGCGTTAGCGTTAGCCTACCCAACATTAGCTTTCTCCCCCCTCCTCCCCTTCCACCTCCTTTCATCTTGTTTCATGTGCGCTTAGATGGATTAGAAAACATTAATAAATGGAAATGTGTCCCCGAGTGTGTCAGAAAGACATACAGCCACATCCCCGTCGTGTGCTTCGCCTTTTAACCGTTTAAACGGCTCCTGTATTTCCATTTCGATGCCTTTGGTGCCAGGTAGCTTCAAGCTAACATCGCAGGAAGCTGTAAGATCAGTCATTGAAACCTTGTTATGCCCATGCATGCACCCGTCTTTTTTGTTATGTTTGATTAAAATAACACATCTATAGCCAGCTATTGATCTCTGCCACACTATATATACACCCAAGTTATACTACAAGTCCTTATAGGAGACTAGTGACCGCTGGATGACATCTTTTGGATGTTTACATCACCGTTGTTCACCCTTCGCAAAGCTGCTAACAAGTTAAACCGCAACAAGAGGAGCAGATTACCCACTCAACACTTTAAACCTAATTAATTATATCAGCTTTGGTGGTTAAAAGTGTTCAGTGCATGAGGTCAAACCCACCTCTGGTAGCTGCTCTTTTGTTTTGTGCAAGCAGGCCACCATGTGTTTGTGTTGATGAAAATAAACACATAAAAATCACCTAAAGCTTGTGAACAGCAGCTTGCACGACCTCTCAGTATACACTACGAAGATGACCCGAGTTTGTGATGATAATATGGGGATTTATGGGGTCTGCAATTCAGACCACCCTGTGAGTTTATCACAGTAATCATTATAATGAGTATTCTGCAGATCTCCTCAGTGCATCTGTTTAAAAAAAAAATCCCACATAATTCAAACTGCTGCTCTAAAACTCAGATTTGAGGAGTAGGAGCCTGGTGAAACTGCCACTGAAGTGATAATTAAAGTTGTGTAGTTAATGGTCAGCTAACCCTGAGTTTGTAAGGGAGGAGAGGTGTGTGTTTCTACAAGTCAGAGTTAGAAGTTTCACACTATATTATTAGCAGAAATTTCTAGATATTTTAACCAGAAAACAGCTGATACATGGCAAACCAATTCGGTAGATGGCTGACTTCTTTCCAGAACTTATGACAGTCCCGTGTGTTTATCTGCAGTGAGAAAGATTTACCAAAGCCCAGATCAGTGGTCATAAACAAAAAATAAACTCTGTTATTCTGATGTTTTTCTAGCTATTTTATTCGTATAATAATAAACAGTCCTTGTGTTTACTGTGGGAGCCAAAAAACCCGATGATGTAACTCTCTTTGCTCTTAGTTTCTCTTCATTTACAGCTGCAGTTTGATACGTTTCAGACACCAAATCTGCTTGGTTCCATTTAGAGAAAGGATTATTGTTTGGGTTTAAATATGCCTTTTTACATTGAAAAATTAGGCTTACAAAAAAAGGTAACCGTGGGTTCAGATGTGACACCAAGTGTCAGTGTGTGACAATTTGGGATTCCAGAGTGAAGCTTTAATTTGCAAACAAGTTTGCTTAATACACTGCTAGAAAGTTAAATAAAAAAGGCCAACCCAGAAACACAGATGTGTGCAGTGTTAATCTGTTGCTCTGTGTTAAATAATCTGTTAATAATTCCTGAAGGATAGAAGCTAAGGTCTTGGTGACTATTGGCTGTGTGCTTGTTGAGCTTTCCTGCGGTTCATTCAGTTGTGTGTACCTCTATCGGCAGGTCCAGTCAAAGAAAAAGACAGTTAAGGATGCAGGAGCCCAACAATGGATTTCTCCTTCTCTTTCATGCAAGGGATCATGGGAAATACAATTCAGCAACCCCCTCAGCTCATTGACTCCGCCAACATCAGACAGGAAGGCACCTGCGACACCGGCAGTGACCCGGGTGAGGATGGTGGTCCCTCCTACGATGCAGCCCTGGATGCAGAGTTTCCGTACCCGCCATCGGCTTCGGAGGACATGCCGCAGGTCCCCAATGGCTACCCGCCGGGTTTGGGCATATACGAACCGCAGGCTAAATTCTCCATGTACTCGCAGTTCCCCAACGGCTCTGCTAATGGCTATGGGGCCATACGGAGCTACGGGGACCACGGCCTCGTGTCGGTGGAGGGGACCGTCCTGAGAGGTCCCGGTCTCCAGGAAAGACCTCTGTCTCCCGTTTCACCCCCACTGTCCACACATCACCCACACCTCCACCACCACCATCATCATCATCCCCATCACCACCACCATTCGCTCCACATCCACTCAAATCCACCTCAAATACAAACCCACTCACACCCGCAGAGTCCTCCACCGCCACCCCTGCCCACCCAGCATCACCTACACCAGACACCTCACATCATGACTCACAACCTGCCCCCTCCTCCCCCGTTACACCTGCCTTCGTCCAGTCCTCCCCCCTCACTTGTGGACAACACCCCTTCGTCTCAGCCCACGCACGCCCCATCCAGTGCTTCTGGTGGGGTCCTGAAGAAAACCAGCTCTCCGGAGATCAAGCTGAAGATCATAAAGACGTATCAGAACGGCAAAGAGCTGTTCGAGTCTGCGCTGTGCGGAGACCTGCTGCAAGAACTGCAGGTAACTGCCAACAGCCTTTTAGGCAACATTTCTTTTTACCTTTTTGTTTATTCTTCCAAAGATGCTTTTTAGTGCAGAAGATTAGGTGGAAATGTGGAAATCTGCACAGGTTCGCACAGTGTTGTTTTGTTTTTTTATTATTATTATTTCATATAATGAAAAAGATGCATGATCTGACTGCTATCTCCTTTTCAAAATTGCTTCAAACATTTTTTTTTTCATGTGGTAGAACAGAGCTGAAGAACCTCTGATTCTCCAGAGTTTAATGTATTTTTAAAAAATTGCATTAATAATTACAAAATGTATAATGTTTAAGCTAATTTTTCTGCAAACTAGACTTTATAGTTAGCCATTCCTATGAGAACTAAAACTTTGAGGTACAAAATCAGCCCAGGTGTTCTCGACTAAGATCAAGAGCCAAGCCTATGAGCAACAAAATCAAGAGACGATAGTGCAGCTGGAATTACACTTACCATCTAAATTGATTAAGTGTAGAAGGAATGGGCCATCAATGACAACACGTGGGTTATTGATGAGTTTAAAAACTCTCCAGAAGCTTAAAGGCTGCACATTATCAGGATCAGCCGCTTTAATTTAATCAAAGTTTGGATAGCAAGATAACAAGAGCTGTTCAAATGGAGGTCATGGGGTGAAAGTGCATTTTTCTAGTCTTTATATAATGTATGCATACATACTATCGTCATTTAGCTCTGGTCAGCTACTGCCAGAGGATTTAATAAAATTTACCAGATTTGAACGATTCTGGTTGAGGTTGCGGCCAATCTGCTGTACTGTCTCTGAAAAAGACAAGGACTAATGTTTTATATTTATATAAAGTTAAGAAAAACTTCTTGCTTGATGTTAGAGCTGAAATGATTAGCAACGTAATCAATTAGAGGATCAAAACGAAAACGATTAGAGATCCTGTTCACGGCTAATGTTGAATACCAGATAACTGTGATGACCTTCAGCTCAGTTTGTTCACAGTGTTGCAGACAGTTTTTCTTTCTTTCTTTCTTTCTTTCTTTCTTTCTTTCTTTCTTGGAAGAGTAAAGATCAAGTAAAAAGCACAAGTTTAATTATTTAGGGAACTTAAGGATAAATATTAAACTAATGCTGGTTTCAGCCTGTCAAAGAACAGAATTAACTGGTTGTTGCTCCTTTTGTTTTAAAAATCTTTAAATTGTTTTTTTCTCACAGGAATAAAAAAATGCAGATAAAGAAACTTTATCAAAATATAACAAGCATCTGAAGTTTTCACATTGTTTTATTGTCAGGTTTTTATTAACATTTGCTCGTGTTTGGCAGTCCTCTTTAACATGAGCACATGTTTCTTCACAAATCTTTATGGCTGTACTAACAAACTCGCTGTGTGTGTGTGTTTATTTTAAAACCTTGCTTTTAACTTTGTATGTTTTTATTAATGTGCGTATTAGTAAACCTAAAGGGTTTGCTGGTAAAGGTTTGTGCATGAGAAGAAAGCACACACTGACTTTAATCTGAACCGCTGCGTCCCGTGTCTGTTATTCCTTTGGTTTATAAATAATTAAATCCGAGAAAGACGTGTGAAACATAGTTCAGAGGTGCTGCAAACTAATTTGCTTCAGAACTTCAGTCTGGGGACATGAATAAATGATTATTTTAATTATTGCATAAACTAATTGTGTGTCTTCTACTATAACAGTTAATAGTTAACTAAAGCTAAACTAAAACTGGGTGTGGAAAAGCAGTTTTAGTTAAGTTATATAAAGCTTAAAAACTAGGCCTCAGAAAAACAGAACCAAGTTTAACAACTTGTCTACTTGGAAATCATACGCAGGAAATGTCCTTGGTATTAGTCTTTGTCAGTTTGGTGCGTCATTTGAACATGCCCTCCCCTATTGTAACAGTTAAAAAGATGGAAATTATGAAAAACTGAAGTGAAACAGGCAAACTCATTTTGGATAGTACCGAATTGAAAACAAATGCTCAAAACCAAACAGAAAGAAAAAGCAAGCCGAAAACTTAAAAAACTGTAACAATGATGCCTCATGTACTTTTTTAGACAGCCGCCCAACACGTAAGCTCGGCCAGTCCACATACAGCGTGGAACTTTACATTACATTTTGGCTTTCCTGCACCTTATGCTTCTGCTCAGTAAAGGAAAAACTTGCATAAACACAATTATTTTCCCATTTTAAAGACATTGTGTTCTTTAAAAATGCTTTTTTCCTCCCTTTTTCCATGTTGTCATGGACATTGTCAGGCATTGATGTCAGTGTGTGTTGACAAATACTTGTAAGCCAAAAGCTCACACTTAGACTGGTCTAAATGCTCTATTTTGTAAATTTATTTTTAACTCTTGACTCCGTATGATCTCGAAATGAGTGGATATCATTATCAGGAAGTGTGAAGGTCGCTTTTGCTTATGAGGGGCAGCCAATCAGAAGGAAGTTCACTTACAGAGCGCCCAAATGACAGATGATAAATAAACTGAGTATACCCAGGCTCAGTACTAGATAAATGAGGATTATTTTAACCATAAAGCTACTCTGCTGCAGTCCAAGAATAAAATTATGCGGATGCAAATGAACATAAAATGTCCTGTTTAAATCCCAAGACACCTTGGCAAAATAACTGTGCGTATTAATTGGAAATCTTATCAGTCAATTTATTTTTTAATGGAATTATTACCGTGCACATCTTAGTTTACTTTTAATTATTCTTCAAAATCCCTAAAGCAGCGGACATCTGAGGAAATTCTGAGTTGTTTCTTTTATAAAAACGCAACAAAATGAACTGCCGTCTCATCGCAGCTGACTTCTTTCTGTTTATTTCCTCGTCTTCAGAAAGAGTCTCAGAAGAACGAGGCCGCTCAGGCGCAGCGCAGACATGAGAGGAAGAAGGAGAAGAGGAAAAAGAGTGCAAGACTGCTGCTGCAAGCTCAGGAACAGAGCCTGGACACGAGCCAAACACAGCCAGGTACCACAGGCCAGACAGAGGACACCCACGTCCAGCCGCCGCCAAAAGAAGCACCGCCGGTGCAGACAGAGAAGCCTCCGAAGACCGTTATTAAAACCGAACCAAAGACGCCGAAGGCAAGAGCTCATGTTCACTCACCAAAGCAGTTTGAAGTCGTCGCAGATCAGCCGCTGTGGTTTGTAGTAAACATTTTGAAAACATAACAGTGACTTGTTCATGTTTAGGTTCCTAAGGTCCATCATCCATCAGTGATCCAGGAGACAGGCTTCTGTAAGGAGTTTGTAATAGGAGATCTGGTGTGGTCCAAGGTGGGTACCTACCCCTGGTGGCCCTGCATGGTGTCCTCAGACCCACAGATGAAGGTCCACACTCGCATCAACACCAGAGGTAAAATCCCTTAAACGTCTTTGTTGTTCAAGTTTAAGTGTGTAAATGTGTAAACACAGAAGTGCCGCAACTTGTTTTCTTTCCTCTGCTGCCGTGCAGGTCACAGGGAATATCACGTCCAGTTCTTTGGCAGTGTCGCAGAGCGAGCGTGGATCCACGAGAAGAGGATAGTCATGTACCAGGGGAAGCAACAGTTTGACGAGCTTCAGTCAGAGACACTTCGCAAAACCACAAACCCTGTAGAGAGACACAAAGTATGCACAGATGGGAGATTTATTTTTAAGACTTAAAGAAAACAAACTGTTTAAACAGAATTTTTGTTGTTTTCAGCTTTTAAAATGATTGTTTCAAAAATCTTTAACCAGAATTAACCATATAGTGGACCTGCTATGCTTTTCCTTATTTTCAGCCACTGTAACAATGGTGGATGCTCATATTAAAGAAATTAAAAATAAATTTCAAGTAATGAGGTCATCGTATGTGCAAGTAATCCCTTTCGAGTTAAAAGCTCAGGCTTTAGACCTCTGCAGCGGCACACATTTAAAAATGTTTGATTTTGTTGAGTGGGTGAAAATTGGGATACTTAGTTTGAAAGAATAATGAGCAAGTCTAATTTTTTTTAAAGATTTTTCCCTTTTCTTAATGAAGGCATATTCTGAGCTGTCCTCTTCACATAACATCATCATCAGACATCCCATCCTCACTGGGATTATAAGACAGCTTTATGTAACATCAGTGTTTATAGTGGGGATTTCTCAGTGCCACTTTTTCATCTCCCATGCTGATGGTTGGTAATCTGATGCTGTCTTTTTCCCCTCTTACACAGCTAAGCCAATAATAAATTTACATGGAGACACGTCTGAGCTCGAGATATCGGTTTAACCCAATCAGATATTCTTAAATCTCAGTTACTTGTCACATCTGTCTTCATGGCATGCTGTTAACTCAGGTTGTACCACGTAGTTTTGGCTAATGGAGCACATCTGATTATATTTTCCCCAATGTGTTACCCACTGTCTTTGACCAATATCGAATCAATACCAATTATTGGATCCGCACACCTCTTCTTTTGTTTTTAGTCATGTATGTAGTATGTGGAACACTTTTTTTTTTTTTTTATTATTATTATTGTTCTAAAAACTCCCTGAAAAGCCTTCAGTTAATCCAAAATCATGAATGCCAGGGTTAGTACATGTTTATAAGTTCATGAGTTTTCTTTTTTTTCTCATCAGCTAATGAAGCCTATCCCTCAGCGGGAACGTTCTCAGTGGGAGGTGGGTGTTGGTCACGCCGAGGATGCTTTTCTGATGACGAGACAGGAGCGAATTGACAACTACACCTTCATCTATGTGGACCCAGACCCTACTGAAGCCCCACCCAGCAAGAAACCCAACATCAGACCTGAGAAACGAAGCCGGCGCTCAAGCAGCTCGATCAGTAAGAAGGAGGACCGAGATGTAAAGTCACCAGATAGAGAGCAGCCTCCGCGACGGCAGCTTCCACGGAGACAGTGTAGTGTTTCAAACACAGATGACAATGCAAACTCCCAGGCCTCAAGTGAAGATAAGAACCAGAGGGGGGACCAACGTAAGACCAGCTCACCGAAACAGAATGCCAGCTGTGATGCACGAGCACAGCAGGACTCTCCGCCTCCGGTCAAAACGTGGAAAACGGCAGCTGCCAGGAAGCTCCTGCCTCTTTCTATCACAATGAAGAGGCTGAATGTGGAGATCACAAAATGTGACTGGCCTCTTATCCAGAAAAAAGCAGCTGCCTCCCCAAAGAAGGACAAAGAAGAAGAGAAGAAAGAGAGGGTGGAGAGAGAAGGCAGGCAGCCCGACCTGGGATACTGCTCACCTGAGGTTGGTCTAACTGACAGAAGATGTACACAGCAGAAACATCCTGTAAGCTAATATTCAAATGTTGATTTCAGCAGGACAGCAGAGCTAAACCTGAGCCCAGTCCAGAGGAGGAGGAAGATGGGGATGAAGGAGAGGACGAGGGAGAGGAGAGGAGAGATTCCCCAGCGAGTCGGAGGAGTGAAGAGGGAGGATTGCAGCAGACCTCATCTCCGGGATCACACCACAGCAGTCCGCAAGGTTGGCGAAACACAGACATGCAGAGTGTTTCTGTTGCATTTCTCAATTTTATGGATTAAATTGACAAAGTCAGAAAGAGATGCAGCTTAGTGTTTTGTTTTGTTTTTTTAGGTTCTCAAGAGAGGAAGCTTCAGCGGCGGTGTGTCAGAAGCAGGTCTGAGTCAGAGAGAGGCAACGATCTCGTCCCTAAGAAGAAAACCAAAAAAGAGCAGGTATTAGTCCTCCACAGGGAATCAGTATGCCATACCTTTCTCTCCCTGTCTTTTTTATAGATTTTTATAGAATATAAAAATATAATAAAGTAAAAATTGAAATATGAGCCTAGCACTTCTGTTCACGTAACAGCTTTAGCAGTTTGAAAGCTTATCAGATGCTAAAACGCTGCTAAAAGGATTTTGTAATATGATAGAGCTTTGGGCAGCTGTATTTTTCCTACACCGCAGGAGTTGGCAGGAGAACTGTGAAATTGTGTATCTGTCTTCCAAAATAATCCAGGTATGCACGTGTTGAGCTATATTCAGATTTGTTTTGCAAACTTTCCTGAATTTTTGTGCAGGAATAGTTTCATTAAATTGAATGAGACAGCTTAGAATCCAAACTAAGAAGACCTGAGATAACCTGAACCTGCACTTTTAATCTCCTTGCAGGCTGAGATGGCTCCAGAGACCACGCTGAGGACAGGTTCACAGAAAGGTGAGCGATCATTCATTCACACACGCTGTAAATCATTTGTCATGGAAGCTCTTTGTACTTGTAGAAAGACAAAATCTGTCTCTTCTTCCCCCCCCCATGTGATCGTGTAGGAGCTAGTGAGATCTCAGATGCGTGCAAGCCACTGAAGAAGCGAAGCAGAGCATCAACAGATGTCGAAATGGCTTCATCTCAGTACAGAGACACGTCTGATTCAGACTCCAGAGGCCTCAACGACCCGCAGGTAGCCTTGAATGACATGACCGAGGGCTTTTTTTCTGCACACAAAATATTTGTCTCCATTAGTCCAGAGGCTAAATATCCATACATTATTGCCATGCATGCAGAGATGTTTACTGTTCATAGTGCAAAATTCGATCTCAGTCATGTTTTCATTATCTCTGATTCATTTTGCTCTTATTGCATTAATTTATTTTTATTCCTGTAAGCAATAGGCCTGTTTAGATCCCAACATTGCACCCTTTAAAACCAGAAATGAGCACTTCTTAAGCTTTTACCTTCTTAAGGATGATCATTTTTTTTATTATTTACATGTTTTTATATTATTCTTTGGCTTCTCTGCTGCTGAAGAAAAGAAGACACTTGAAGCAGTTGATACTCTTTTTGTCATTCCTGTCATATATGTATTGTTATGATGATGGTCCACGTACAAGTAATTCCTGCAAACTCAAGCTCAGACTTGGGGCTGCTCATTTGCCAGTTTTTTTCCTACTCTTTGATTTATATGTAGAGAGTGGATATTCCTAATTTGGTCATCTCAGGTGCACAGCTCTGACTGTGAGCGCAGAAGCTTCTGTTTGCGAGGTACAGCCAATCAGGAATAAGTAGGGTAAAGGGAGAGGAACTTAAACAGCTTGGTTCGATGAGGATACAATTCACAAAGGTCCAGTGTAAGATAAGAAAAAATGTCTGCACACCCGACGCATTGGTTAAACACTCTGGTTTACATTCAGTGCATCTCTGCTTCAGGGCTTATTTGGGAAGAGTCTTGATAGTCCAGCAGCAGCAGATGCAGATGCTTCAGATACTCAGTCTGTGGACTCTGGCCTGTCCCGTCAGGACAGCAGCACCAGCAAGAGGGACACTGTGTGCCAGGTCAGCGTTGCTCATGATTCACCTCAGTTCTGCTCTTTCTTCTAAACATTTACAGGCATTGGTTGTGTGGTATATTTGTGTGGTATATTTTTAAACTGCCCCACTCTCTGTGTTTTTGTGTAGATCTGCGAGGTGTACGGAGATGGTTTGATGGTATGTGAAGGTGACTGCAACAAGCAGTTTCACATGGAGTGTCTCGGTTTGTCGTCCCCACCTGAAGGAAGATTTAGCTGCACAGAATGTAGAACAGGTGAGTGAATTCAAACACAACTACATATCTACCATCATATTTGCAGTGTTTGGCGCTTTTCTACAGCACATTCTCTGACATTCCTTTTCTAGGGAACCATCCTTGTTTTAGCTGTAAAACAGTGGGCAGGGAGGTGACGCGCTGCTCTGTGTCTGGATGTGGTTGTTACTATCACGAGGACTGTGTCCGTAAACTCCCGGGAACCACCAGCAACCCAGGTGGAGGTTTCAGCTGCCCTCAGCACAGTTGTTCAACCTGCTGCCTGGAGAGAGACCCACAACGAGCCAGTAAAGGTAGAACAGCTTCCCTTTTTTGTCTGTGGCCTTTAGTAATTTCGTGGTTGAGTCTGTAGGGGTGTGAGCTGGTGATAGATAGAAAAAGGGTCATTAAAATGGAGTTTAGACTCCTTAGGTGATGATACTGACTGACTAATAGAACAAAGCTCACATTGAAATCAAGCTTGTGATTCTTTGTTGAAATATGTAAGAGTTAAATGCATTAGAAGTAAATAGGAGTGTCTTCTTCAGAGAAAACAGACTGTGGGAGAACTTGTGCCAGATTTAATGAAGAATACTTGGTGACAGCCTTGGCACAAACATCCTCTTCATGTCAAAGTTAAATTGTTCTGTTTGGTGAGAAGTACCTGGAGACTGTCGAGCACTGGAGAAAGTAAACTGGCTTGCTCCTGGAAAGGTCTTTAGGCGATCGTACATTATCCTGCAGGAAATATCTGCAAATGAGAAAAGATGCGCTTCGATGCAGAGGTGCTAAAAGTGATATCGACAACTATGATTTATACCAGGGGTGCGTGGTTCATTTTCCCAAGGGGCCACATGAGAAACTGGAACTGTAGTGGAAGACTGTAATAATAAGTGGAACTCAATTCTGCTCCATTTTAATTTGATCTCTTTATCTCTTTATAAGTGTGTTGTTGCAGCCCTCCACAACAATCCCAGTATGTCAGGGAAACCCTTAGGAAAATGAACTGATTTATACCTTTGCCATCAGACATGAAAGTCATCCAAGTGGGAAGAGAGGAAAGGCTGGAAAGGAAAAAAAACACGCCTAACACCTACCGGACACTGCTCTGGTTTTGCATGAAATTACTTTGAAAAGGACTGAAAGAATCATTTTCAGTGAATTATATTTTGTATACAAATGGGGAAAAAACTTTATGATTCAAAGAAAAATCAAATAACACTGATTTCTTTTCACATAACCTAAGATCATTATGAGTGTAAATGGATGCAGGTGAGGACCTGTGCAACTTTGATAGGAGTCAAATCGTTTTAGGTTGTTACTTTACTCGATTTTTCTCAAGTCATGTTTCTCTGGTTCTTTAATCCACTTTTAATATCTATATATTTTTTTTTATGTGAAAATGTTAATGAGAGCAGTTGTACCAAAAGGATACATTTGCAAATAGCTGAAGCTTTTGTTTAAAATAAATAAATACAAATCAATAGTGCTTAGGCACAGCAGGCCATCAGTCTCTATAATACAGGGGAGAAAACTTTTTATGAAGAACTTATTTTAAATCCAGTCCCAGCAGGAGAAACTCGTGTTGTTTTGTTCAGTATATGTCTACACAGCCCAAAGCAGTGACTCTCAATCTTTTTGACTTGTGATCTCTTGTGTTTTTGTAACACTTCGTTCTATTTTAGATGTTGAAAAGTCACATTTTTCAACATCTGAGCTTCTCAGATGGCTTCTTTCAAAAAATAGTTTAGGTTCAAAAATTAGCCTTACCATTTTGTCTAGCTTTGTTTTTTTTTTCCTTTTAAACCTGGGTAAATACTGCGCAAATCTCCAGGTTTTCTTGTGCCCTATGGAAAATCTATTGTCAGATTCTGTTTTGTTGTTTAAGTACTGTGAAGATAGATTTCAATAACTTGGAGCTGAAGTCTCTGTAGTCGGTTGTGTTTTTCCTTTTGCTTTCCTTTAATTACAGCTGGAGCCCATTAAAGGAATATGACCTATTTGTTTTTAATAGAATCTCAGCAGTAAAAAGAAGTGAGCAGAGCTGTGTTGTGTTGTATGCAATTATACTTCCATTTTTGTTTTTTAATGATCACGAAAAGAAGGTAATCTGCATAAAACAGAACAGTTGCTGCTTCCTGCATCTCGGATCTACAAGGACACCTCATCCTGTCTACTTCCAGCAGTGTCTTCACGTGACTCCAGTGCATGTCTTCAGGATGGCTTGAGGGCCTCTGTTTGCACCCTGGTCATAAAGACCCAGACCATGTGCACCTCTTTTTGTCTTTTACTTTTTTTTTTTTATGTATTTATTTTTTAGCAGCCCTAGAGTACAGTTGAATACTCCAGAATGATTACCTCCTACCTAATCATTTTTCCTTGACCTTCTTGGAGAACGTCACAAGGCCAAAGACATAAAGGCAAATTTGTACCACGATTGTGGTAAAATTTGCTCTCTCTCTCATCTGTTTCCCCTCCAGGTCGTCTGATTCGTTGTATCCGCTGTCCGTTGGCCTATCACACCAGCGACAGCTGCGTGGCGGCAGGCAGTGTCATCCTTACTCACCACATCATGATCTGCAGCAACCACGGCAGCGCCAAGAAGAATGGCCTCCTCACCTCCCCCGTCAACGTGGGATGGTGCTTCCTGTGTGCCCGAGGTAAGCTTTCCCCACCACACACCGACAAACCCCCGAGCCAAAGGAGTGACGTTCCCCCTCGCCCCATGCTGCAGACACAAGCAGTTCTTAATTACACCAGACGATTTGAATCTTGTGGCGAAATCCAAGATCGATTCTTCTTGCCTGCATCATCTCATATTGTCATCTTTTTTTTTGTTTGTTTGTTTTTTATACACTTTTAACCTGTTTTTGACGCAGTAACATCTCATTTAGGTATCTTTAATATTACATGTTTCATGTTTGGCTTTGTTGTTCATGGATAGCAGTGCTGTGTCTGTTTTCCATCACGATACTAATACTATGAACCAGTCGGGCTGTTACGCTGCACTCCACTTAAAAGAACCACGTCTGTCCTGAGTGCCGATGAAAGAAAACATCCTTTTTTTCTTTGTGACTTTTAGCTCGTTTAAGCCTCACATTTAACTTCAAGTTGAGTGCACTGTCTGGCCTCTTTCTGTTGAGACCAACTTTGTTTTACTTTTGTTTTTTGTGCGTGTTACAACTGTGTGTGAGTATGTGTGTTTGTGTGGCTGTGCACGCGTGTTTGTTCTTTCTCTTTTTGTAAACTTTGGGTAATTTTCGAGTTTGACTGCGGCTCACCCCCGTCTCTTCCTGTGTGTCTTGTGTAGGGCTGTTAGTGCAAGACCTTACTGACACCATATTAAGTTCATATGCCTATAAGTCCCACTACCTTCTGACTGAGTCAAATCGTGCTGAGTTGAAATTACCTATGATTCCCTCTCCTTCGTCAGCTACCAAAAAGAATGTTGGGAAAGGTAACTGAACAGTTTTTCTCTTTCTCCTTTGTCCCACTGGTCTGTGTTTGTGTTGTGCCTGCTCCCATTCTAACCCCCCCTCCCTCCCTTTTTGTACACATCTTTCATTTCAAAGCCTTGAGGTGCAAAGTTAATTAACTGACTACACATGCAGTTAATTTTAACGCAGAGTGACGCAGAGTAACTTCAGCCAAGTTCCCTAACACATTAACAAAACAACAGTGGGCCTCATGCAAGAATTAAGTCTTGTGCTCTCATCCCAAGCCTCTCATTGAAGGGTTGCATATGAGAAGCCAGAGTCACAAAAGTAAAATTATTGTAAAATTGGTCTTTCAAAGATATTACATTTAGAAAGGCACAAGTGTACATCAATTCTGTTTAGCTGTGTGCTGCTGACTCATTGTCACACAATAACAGCGCAGTAGATTAGGCAGAAATTGTGCTCTTGTATATAATAAAAGGACAAAAAAGGCGATTCTTTAACTGATGAAGCTGGAGTGAGGAATTACCGACTCGCTGGAGTTTGGTGTGCAATTATATAGATTGAATTTATTCATTTATGCAAAATTTGTAATATTTAAGGCAATCAATCCGTGGATATTGTCACTGTACTATACAACTAGGCCTCATGGCTACGTATTCATATTAAAGATATGAAAAAGATACATTTGTGCTTGTTCATTAATCAACAAAATTAAAAGAGATGGCGACATAACTGAAATAACACATCTCATCTGCCTAAGTATGTTATTACGATAGACTCTATAAAAGATGGACGTAGCTTCTGGGTCTGAAAAGTAAAGCCAAACATGTCTTCTGTGGTAATGGTCATTGCAAAGACACTTCTGGTTGTATCAAAGTAAACGCGTTCATGACTTTACTGGCTCATTGACTTCTTTGGGGTCATATTGAATAAAACATGAATGTTGTTTTGTAAATTATGATTATTCTCAGAGTCAAAAAGAAGTGTTTTCCAGAGTAAATGAAACCTTGCAGACTTTCCAAGACTGACTCTAAGGTGTCAGGATGTTTTCTTTTTGATGCTAAAGATACTTCTTTATAGCTTTATGACTTTGGTTGAATATTTGGGCATCTATGATGTGAGTTTGGCTGAGCAGACCGTTCCCTGACACCCTGGTACTATTTGAATGATAAGAACCTAAACATTGAAATGCCTTTAAACCTTTGTGCAGTACTCTACATGTATAAAAGGGAATAATTTGGCATGAAGTTAGAGGCGACAAATTCTCTCTGCAAAGTTACGATGGGAAGCAATGAAGAGGAACCAGTGTCACAAACACGGATACTGTTCAGCAGGATGAGAGGTATTTGGTTATTCGTCTTTTAAGTCAATTACAGAATAAAACCGCGGTCCCCAACCTTTTTTGCGTCACGGACCGGTTTATGCCCGACAATATTTTCACGGACCGGCCTTTAAGGTGTCGCAGATAAATACAACAAAATAAAACTAGTACCGGTACCGAAAAAATGATTTATTCATAACACACATGAAAAGACCAAGGAAAACAGAGTTAACAATAAAAATGATAACCAAATAACGCTGAAAACCGATAAAAACCCTGAAAACCATACATTTCACACCTGAGCCTCAACTCTCGCGGCCCGGTACCAAACGACTCACAGACCGGTACGAGTCCAGGGCCCGGGGGTGGGGATGGTCAGTGCAAAGCTAAAAGTCAGACTAATGTGGAAAAATCTCTTTTTAACACAACTAATCTGAACAGCTCATGAATTTTGTTCACTCATCCTGTTGAACGTGAAAAGTTCTTATTTATCGTAGATCTGCTTTGTTTGTATGAGAGGTTCTTGCATGAGGCCCATCGTAAAATTGGTTGCGCATCAGCAACCAATCTAAAAACTTCTTTGCTAAAATAGTCGGTTATAAAGAAAATAAATCAGTTTATCTGCTGGTAAAATAAAATTGGTCCTTAGACCTGCAGCATGGATGTATGAAGTCCCAATGCAGGGACGGACGCTCTGGGTTGGTTCAGGTTCTCTCTGTGGTTTGTGGAGCTTCTCGCTGCTGGAGGCGCATTGCTTCTCTGCTTCAGCACTCTGGGCTTGGTTTTGATTTGAAAGACCTCGTCCGGCGTCACCTCTTTTATGGCAACTGCAACTAAGTTTGTTTTTGACTGAAAATTTCAAACAGTATGACATTTTGGCTCCCCTCATGTCTTTGAGCTTTGACCTGCCTTGGATGGAATATAATCCTAATCATTTAGTACAATTAAGCAAAGAATTGTTTCCAGGTGATGGAGGTTAAATTACAGGGTTTTTTTCTTCTTTTTTAAAAATTATAATTCTGCTATTGCATTTTTTTTTTTTTTAAATTACATTTTGGAAATGGAAATACTGTAAAGATTTGATTCCATGCAAGCTGGTCTGTGCAGAATGTGATATGTGTGATGGGAAGTTTGCTTTATGAGCTGGACTGCATGCCGGCTTTTTGCCAGTACTTTGTTATTTGAGTATAACCCTGATTCATTGTTAACCTGCTGGCTGATTTTTATTCCGGTGCTACCGCATGTATTTCCCATAAGACTGGTCTTGGTACAGTGCTCTGAATCTGATTGCCAGACATGCTGTAACCGCTGCAATAAAATGCTATACCCAAACCAGGAAACCCATGCAGGGTTTCCAATCATTTCATTCATGCCGTCAGGCTGTTACAGGAGGCTTCACTCAGACCAGAAGGTCCTAGCCTTAGTTTTTCATTTAGATTAATAGCCAGATGTTATTGTGGTAGGAATGTCTTCCTAAAGAACACTGTTTTAACTCACATTAGATGCTAGAAAACCACGATTGTATTCTGTATTTATAGACTTTGTACTAGTTGTACTTTTAGTTAATAGGCTTGTCTGCAAATGAGATTCAGAGTTTGACCAGGTGTTAAGGTGCATCACCTAATCATGCACTCCTCCTCTCTTTGCATACCCACCCCCTCCCCACAACGCATGCACACACACACACACACACATACACACATACACACATACACACATACAAACACACATCCATACACACATACGCAAACACACACATGTATACATCCATACAAATGTAGGAGGCAAGTTGCTGTGCTGCGACTCATGCCCAGCTTCCTTCCACCCGGAGTGTCTGGAGATGGAGATGCCGGAGGGGTCGTGGTCCTGCAGCGATTGCAGGGCAGGGAAGAAACCTCACTACAAACAAATTGTCTGGGTCAAACTAGGCAACTACAGGTAGGAAGCACAGATTGGGGACAGCTGAGGGTTATGCAGCTGTCACTTTGTGGTATGGATGCATTTAAAGGATAAGATAGTGATAGTTTAGATTTCAGTGCATGATTTCTACCTTTTAATCCTATTTAAAAAAACCACAGAAAGTTGATTGCACATAGTCTTCTGTGTCGTAGACCTCCGCTGTTGTCCAGAAACCCAGTAATGACCAGCAATACTGTTTCCTTTCTTATAATAATCCTTCTAGTCTTGATAATTTAAATCTGCCACAGAAGCTGAAACTGTTCAAGTATCTTTTGTCCAGAGCCTTAAAAAAATTAAGACCAACAATCAGCCACAATATTAAAACCACCTTCCTAATACCGTTTATGTCCCCTTAGTGCTGCCAACACTGTGTCTGACGCATCAAGGCATAGAATCCACTGAATGTTTCCTTTAGTATCGGGTACCATGACGTTAGCAGAAGAGCCTTTAAGTCCTGCAAGTTGCAGACGTTGCTGCTCAGTCAGAATGAGGATTTAGAGACTTTGGAGACCCAAGCAATATTTGTTTGTTTAGCACTTTTTTCTCTCAAGAGTTACAAACTCCTTTACAAAAGCCAGTATTCATAATAAAAGGTTAAAATAAAAGACACTAAAATTAAACCGAGGAGAAGACAAAAGAAATCGTCATCAATCTGTGAAGATAGTCATTCTCCATTCCTGCTAGAAAACACCATCAGAGTGAACGCCTGCAATGAAGTTATGTATCTGGTTATGCAACAGTGTTTGTTCCATGTCATCGTAACAACCACATGAATACAAAAAACACTGATAGGAGCATCACACTGTCTCTGTCAGCTGTTATTCTTTCCATAGTGCATCCTAACTGCCATGTCAGTGTGCCCCAGGGTGGCTACAATGTAGCTTGCCATCACCAGTGTGTGAATGGGTGGATGACTGGATGTGTAAAGCGCTTTGGGGTCCTTAGGGACTTGTAAAGCGCTATACAAATACAGGCCATTTACCATTTCTTCCCCAGGTAAACAACACACACTCACCCAGCCGTTCACATGACGTAAAGAAGACATGATTCATCAGACTAGACAACCAGTGATCCATTTTTGATGCTCACATGACCACTGCTTGTGCTTAAAGCTAGCATGAGAGTGCTGACTGTTTTATTCATCAGTCTGTCATGGCCACCATTAAGAGTTTCACTTATTTGTGCTACAGTAGCTCATCTGGCAGATCAGCTACACAGGACAGCCTTTATTCCTCAGTGTTATCAGAGACAGTAATCTCAGTTGTCTGCTTGTATTCCCATGGGCCTCTGTTGGTAAATGCTGTGTACTGGCAACGCAAAACAGGACATGCATCGCAGTTTGTCTCTTAAATCTTTGAGAGACACACAACCTATTTTTTTTCAGCTTCTAACACATACGTTTTAAGAATAGACTGTTAACCAGCTGCCTAATATATCCCACCCCATCATAGAGGATCTTGTAACTAGACTATTTTATTTAGCTGAGCTGTCAGTGGTTTAAACGATCTGTTTTTTACTTGCGTCTGCAGCAGGAAGAAATCTAATATGAGCCTGAGAACCGCAAACATGTCAGGGGGGTGCGTGCATGCAGATTGTTGGTCTTGGTCTGTTTAAACTCGGTGTAGCACATTGTTTTCACACCTCATGGGGAAACAGGATGTGATAATATAAATGCAGGTATTCAGGAAACACTGAGCAGTGCTTTTCGCTCTCACACTGACTGTCAGTCAGGCTCAATATTTGTCTCACAGTTTAGAATCTTCTGGCAGATTAAAGGTGTGCACACAGATAATTATTAATCTGTTGATGAAGCAGCTCTGAATTTGATTTAAAAAAACAACATTTCTAGGCAGAAACAAATAAATACAGTATTTCCTCTCTAAGTCATGGTTCACCTTTTCGAGGACTCGCTGCATCGTGGATTTATCTGTACATTTAGATTGTGGAATTTCATAATATCACAGGCTTCTGTGGCCTATAGGTATTTTTATTCTTATTCACTTTTGTCCTTGATTTTCTAATGATGTCCCTTGCCTGCCAGGTGGTGGCCTGCAGAGATCTGCAACCCTCGTCTGGTGCCATCAAACATTCAGAGTCTTCGGCACGATATTGGTGACTTCCCGGTTTTCTTCTTTGGCTCCCATGACTACTACTGGATCAACCAAGGCCGCGTCTTCCCATACGTGGAGAATGACAAGAACTTTGTCACAGGACAGATCAATATTAACAAAACCTTCAAGAAAGGTAACATATTCCTAAAATCCTTCCTTCTAATCTGTTGTGATTTCACTTCAAGCCAAAAGAAAAGATGATTTTCTGAGTCGCTATTCATCTTTTAGCTCTGGAAGAAGCAGCCCGGCGCTTTCAGGAGCTTAAGGCGCAGAGGGAGAGCAGGGAGGCTCTAAAACAGGACCGCAATTCTCGCAAACCACCACCCTACAAGTTCATCAAGGTGAGCAGATGGAAAGACCAAAAGGTGGTTATAAGTTTTGATCGTCAAGTCTTCAGGGTTGTTACTAATTCTGTGGCTGCTTTGTTTTCCTGTCAGTCCAACAAGCCTGTGGGGAAAGTTCAGGTGCACGTGGCCGACTTGTCAGAAATTCAGCGATGCAACTGCAAGCCAGCAGACGAGCATCCCTGCAGCCTGGAGTCCCAGTGTCTCAACCGCATGCTGCAGTACGAGTGTCACCCACAGGTCTGCGTGCATCTTTGGGTTTTTATGTCATTTGTGATTCAGGTAATAAAATCTAACTTTTAACTTTCTGTGGTTGGTTGTGCTCCTGTGATCAGGTGTGCCCTGCAGGAGACAGCTGTGAGAATCAGTGTTTCTCCAAACGGCTGTATGCAGAAACAGAAGTGATAAAGACGGAAGGGTGTGGCTGGGGCCTCAGGACAAACCAGGCACTGAAGAAGGTGGGCGCTGCACTTAAAATGCAGACCTTTCATCTAAAGAGCATCAGCACATCTGATTTGTATTTGCTACAAGCTGAAATGTTAAATAAAGCAATCTAAACTAGTTTAACAATCAAATTAAACATAGAAAAATACTGAAAAATAAAAACAACTGAATAGATTGCAATAAAAGCTCTTCTTATTAATCTTGCAAGCTGCCTACCCTGCAGAAAAGCTTTTAAACGCCCCAGTGTCTGTGATATTTGTTAACATATGTTCATTTATGCTATAAGTATCTTCTTCTGCATACAAACAAAAACATCTGAGTGCAGTAGCAGTTTCTAGATGTGTAAATTCAAAGATCTAGAAATCAGTTTCATCTGCCAGGCAAGAGTGTAAAAGTTCAGCAAATCAGTGGTTCTCATATGTGTGTTTGTTATTTGTTGTCAGTCTGCTTCCTAGCAATAAGTAATTTTTAAGTGCGTGTCTGTGTAATAACTAAAACAATATAAATGTGTTTGTTGTTTCCTGCAGGGTGACTTTGTGGCCGAGTATGTGGGAGAGGTGATAGACTCAGAAGAGTGCCAGCAGCGAATCAAACGTGCCCATGAAAATCACGTGACCAACTTCTACATGCTCACCCTCACCAAGGTAACATCTGTGACGTTTACTGGACACTCAGGATACACAATGCTAACAACAATAGATAACATACAACAGGTAACAATAGGTAACATACAACAAGTTGTAATATTAGTCAGATAATCCATTAGAAACGCCCCCAAAAGACTCCAACATACTTTTCAGTGATCTTAAATTGTTTTTTGTTTTTTTCACTTCCTCATTGATTTAATTTTTCAGTCCTTGACTGTCCCATTTATTTGTTCATCCATTCATTTCCTTGTCCAATTTGGGGTCAGTTCACATAACATCCCTGATACATAAATCGTCCACAGAAGAACATTTCCTAAACTCTGGTGTCTTAATACTCACGTCTTCCCGGTAGGATCGTGTCATCGACGCTGGCCCAAAAGGAAACTCGTCTCGGTTTATTAACCACAGCTGCAGCCCAAACTGCGAAACCCAGAAGTGGACGGTAAACGGCGACGTTCGTATTGGAATCTTTGCCCTTTGTGACATCGAGGCTGGTGAGTTAATCTGCAGCTCTGACACGCATTTTCCTTCATGTATATTAAATGTACTGAGAGCAAGTTGGATGATTCCCATTTAATGTTGCTCTTCTCCCTGGTGTCCCTGCAGGCACAGAGCTGACGTTTAACTACAATCTGCACTGTGTGGGCAACAGGAGAACGTCGTGTCACTGTGGATCAGACAACTGCTCTGGATTTCTTGGGGTCCAGCCATCGGTGAGGATGTTTGTCATCCCCATTAAAATTCAGAGTACCTAAGAAGGAGCAGCCAAGTTTGGAACCTGTGTTTGATACCTCTTTCTTGTTTTATCACATTTCCTGCAGAGTGCTGCAGTGACGGAGAAAGAGGAAAAGGCCAGGAATGCAAAGATGAAGCAGAAGAAGCGGAAACTGCGGCCGGAGGGCAAACACACACACGAGTACTTTTGCTTCTGCTGCGGAAAAGGAGGAGAGCTGGTGATGTGTGACAGGAAGGACTGCCCAAAAGCGTATCACCTGCTGTGTCTCAACCTCACCAAACCGCCATACGGTAACGACAGAAATGACTTTCTGCATGCTTTTGTTTAGTTTGTGTTGCTCCTGAAACGTTTCTGCAGGTCAGTTTCTTGCAGTTTTCCAGGGTTTTTTTTTATTTTTTATAAATTGGCTGTCTGTACTTTCAAACCTTCTCTATAATACTAAGTTATCAGTAATGTACCGGAAATTAAAGCAGATGTATTAGGACAGGATATTAGAAGAATTTCCTGTTCTGTAAATCATCTCATTGACAGCTCAAGTTTTTGTTTGGGATCTCTTTTTGAGGTTGGAAACTCCTGTCCTCAAAAATCAGTTCACTCCACGACAGAAAATAAATTGGCACAGCAGGAAGACGACACAGGTGGTGGAAAGCACAGCATTTAAGTCACTGTTCCCATCCACCCCTGTATGCTGTCCTTATGCATCAGTTTTCCATGAGCTTTCCATTTTGGATTTGTAGCTGGGACACGGATGCAGAAGTGTCTGAAGGAGGCAGGGAGAGACATCCACTCCATTTATTTTTAAAGCTTTTGTTTTTATCAGAAATGTAATGGAGCATATAAAAATTAAGCTACTCGGTGGAGGTAGATGTTACACTTTTTACCTTTATCCATCTGTTTTGGCTTCTGTGCTGAATTAGTGTCTAGATGACGATCTCTCAGCAGTGTGACAGTTAACAGGAAGGCTCGTCCTCGGCCTATATCAAAGATCAGCACATACTCATTTGTAATCTGGTTCACATGCTTTACACCAGTTTTCCCAATCAAAGAAAACACGAAGTGTGATGATCAGAGTTGTGATTGACATGTCAAGTGGACTGCAGATGTGGTGGGCTATATGTGATATTTATTTTTAAATAATCTCCTTTTTCAGTTCTCTGACTTGATGCGTCTGTAATTAACCCATTTCCTGTCTCCAGGGCGGTGGGAATGCCCGTGGCATGACTGCAGCGTTTGCAGCAACCCGGCCTCGTCTCTCTGTGACTTCTGCCCTCGCTCCTTCTGCCGGGATCATGAGGCGGGGGCGCTCACCACCTCCTCCCTGGACGACCGCCTCTGTTGTTCCAGCCACAACCCGCTCAGTCCCCTGGGGGCCAAATCCAGCTCCACCCAGCAGCGGCGCTCCGCTCAGAGCCCCGTCAGAGTCAAAGAGGAGCCGGAGTCAGGCCAGCCGGCCACGGAGTGATAAAACCCTTAATACCTCATTCCCTGCAAAGTGTGCTCCAATCCACCTCTGATCCTAAGCAGTGCACTACAACAGGGAATACAGTGCTTTTTTTCTTTTTTTTTTTGACACATGCGATGGCCGCAACTCAGAGCTGAGACACGCTGACGAACACCTTGATGCTGTTTTGTGGCGACAGTAGGAGAAGGACCAGAAATCATCAGGCACCGTTTTCCCTCCTGTCTTGCCATAAAACACCACTACTTACACTCTCTGCAGCTCGCCTGCGCCCACTGGAGGGCCCAGGCCACCACCTCATTATGTTGTTTTTAAATTTTTACTGCTATTTTTTTTTTCTTTCTTTCTTTTTAAAGCAGTGTAAGCGTCGTCACGTCTCCAGTTCCTGGCACTTTGAAGAACTCACTGAGTGAGGTGGAGGAAGGGGCAGAGAGGAGGAAAAGGATGTGGGAGCTGAAGCTCTCCATCACCACCAAGCTGCTCCTCTCCTTGTTTACCTGCTGTAAGCTGTGGTCTCACACACAGGGTGGCTTTAGGATGGAGACGAGCCAGCTTTTCTTGTGATCTGTCATCCTCTTTATCTGTTAGAGAAAAGGAGCGGCGGGGAAATGACCAATTTCGTGCAATTTGTTTTTTTCCAGGACCACACTACATTCCAACCTTCCTTAAACATGGTTTTAATATGCTTATGGGTATAGATAAATATAATTATATACAGTATCTATGTTTGTTAATGTTTACAGACAGATTCTCTCACTTCATCTCAGTGAGTGGTGTATTATGTTTGTTTAGGTGTTGAACATTACGCAGACCTCCTTGTGAAAATAGTCCTATTAAGGTGAAATATAATGGTATATAGTGAAATGGTATGACATTTCAGAAGTTCTTGTGATTTTCATATTGCCAGTCTCACTCGCCATTGTGTACATAATTGGCTCACAATATTGTAAAATACTAAAAAGATCAGGAGGGGGCGGAGCCTCACCTCTCTGATTGTTCTTGGAAGATGGAAAAGCTTTTTCTTTTTTCTTTTTTCTTTTTTTTTTTTGTAATAATAATTGAAAAAAAAAAAACAAGACAGATCCTTTTTAAAAAAATTCTTTCTTTAAAGCTATGTTTTCATGTTTCCTCCAATTAGTTATTTGCAAAGTAGATGGAGGGGCCCAGCTTGTGATCACTGGTGCTGTCTTAAAGAAGTGTTAATAAGCCTTAAGTTTGGGTTTTTAGCTGTAGTTACTACTGCCCAGATGCAGTCCACTTCGGTTGTTTCGGTTCGGCGTACTGTGACGGCTTTTTTGTTTTCGGGGATTTGGGGTTTTTTGCCAGACTTTTTCTGAAAAGCACTTTCACGCGGCTCATTGCTACTCACCTTAGCTAGGTCATACGTATACAGAAATGTATATTAAAAGAACATATGACAAGTGTTTCAAAATGGATACCTCTTCTTCTTGTATTATTGGAAGTTAAACTGTGTTGTAACTTTTTGCCTCTCGGTCAGAAACGTGGTGAGCGCTGGGTGTGGCTTGTTTCTTCTGAGGAAAGTGGCCTAAATGCTGTTTTTGTTTTTATTTTATTTTTGTTTCATATTTCTTTTATTGTTTGTTTTCTTTTACATTTTTCTTTGGCACACAAGTAGGAAAGACTGCCAACCCAGCTTCGTCCAAAAAAAAAAAAAAAGAAAACAAAAAAAAAAAGTCCTCCGTGTCCTCCAGAGACACTTCTTCATTTTCCAGCTTGAGAAAACTCTTAAGGCTGGGCTTTATATGGAGACGTAATGGTGTAACAACAGTTCAGTCCAGTATAATGTACAAACTTCTGTACAGTGTTTTTAATCGCTCATCGTCAAATCTCAAATTTTTGTATTTATTGCACCACATTTTATACCAATTTCTTTTTCAAACACCAGTGCAGTAACTTGTCTCCCTCTGTAAGGAAATAGGCTTAAAAAAAACATATGGGGAGTTCTACGTAATATACCTGTATTTTCTTTCTTTTTCTTGTTTTTTTTTTTTTTTTTTTTTAAACATTTGGTGTAATGATTCCACATCCGGTAACAGCCGCTGCTCATCAGCCTGTGTCGTGACTCACTGTAATTGGTGTTTAAAAGCAGTGTGAAGCACTTCAGTATTGGAATGTAAAGTTTCAGAGCAGGTTTTGCAGCCCGGACTCAGGTGGTTGTCACTGAAGGAAGCTTTTCTGTGATCGCGCCTTGCTTTGTATTCTTCCTCAGTTACACTGATGTTTGTTTTGTTTTTTGTGCCCTTAAAAGATGTATTTTCTCTTTAAAAAAAAAAAAAAAAAAAAGTGCAACAGGGTAAAATGGTGCCAATGTTTCCAATCAATTTAGGTGATTTAGGGTCTTTTTAAACACTCAGTTGCCCGTTTATTAGATAGAACTTCAGAACTGGGATAAAACTTCGAGGAGGTTATAATGCTCATTATTTTTCTACTGATGTTGATGACGGTAGAATAAATGGAGCCTTTTTCAGACATGATATGAAACATACAGGGCTTCAAGGTGCTGACACTCAGGTGCGTTTTTTGTTTTTTTTTCTTGTTTACCTGAGTGTTGTTGAGGCTGACTTCAGTCTACCCACACTGGTACATCACTAAGAGAGATCTGTTTTCGCAGACGAATGTTTTTATTTTAAGTGCTAATAAAAACTGAGCCAGTGAGTTAAAATGACATTATGTTCTTTATATTGTTGTTTAAGGTATTCTTTACTGAGCTGAGGAGCATGTGCAGTCCTAATCTTTAGTGGGATTGCATGAGTCGTAAACTCGTTCAGATGTCGATGCTGATAGATTAATCGTGGGTAAATATCTGAAAGGATGATCTCTACGCCACCTCTTGCCCAGTCACCAGGTGGGATTGTATCCAGCCTCTTGTTACGCTACAGCTTCTAAATGGACAGTTTTATTCTCCGGCCTCTAAAACAGGGATGTCAAACTTATTATACATCAAAGGCCACATGCAGCCCACTTTGATACTTAGTAACTGTAAAAACACAGTTAAAATTCCAAAAGTTTATCCCCTTAATATTTCCAAAGCTGGACAGATTGGAGACTTTGCCAGGCCAGTTCTGGCCCCCGGGCCTTTTGTTTGACACCCTGCTCTAAAAAATTTGCCACCTCTAAAAACAAAAGCTGAGCATTATAGCTTTCTTTAAATTTTTATTTCAGGCCTGATAGCAGTGTGGGTTGTTGTTGGTTTTACCTAATAAACTGGCAGCTGGCTGTAAATCATGAGGGAGAAAGAATAAAAGCCTCCGAATGCAGAAAAATAAGACGTACTAGACGTGTTTTAGTTGTTTGAAAATACTCACCGTTCATTGACAAATTATGTTAATATGCACAAGTCCGGTTTCTGTGCGCTACAGGATTTCAGTTTAAGTGTGAGGCCTTGAACGACCTCTGGACACTGATTCTCACTGATTCTCGCTTGTGGCACACAACACAAGACCTGATTAGTTTAGGCAAAGTTTGAGGCAGGACACTTGATGCCTACTCACTCGCTGTGATAATCACCTGACTTTTTTTAATGTCCGACAACAGATATTTGTGAAAACGGGGACGTTAAAGTCAGATTTAATTCGACCACGGGGAAATGAACTTTTTGGGGTCAGACTTCTGTTTTAATTGATTGATGTGCATTCAGAAATGCATAGAAAAGCTTGAACTATGAACTTTTTGCCCCCTTCAAGTTAAAGTCTCTCACTCTTCTGCATTCGGCAGTTTCTTTCCTATAATTCCTGTTGTTTTGTGCCTTTCAGGAAGCCTTTTTTAAGATGGGATTCCTGGAGGCGAAAAAAAGGGGATAGTTGTATTTGTTTTGTTTTTAATGCAATTAAGCACTTCTAGTTTTTCTTTTCTTTTTACAACTGTATTCCTTGATGATCAAGTAGGTCCATGACTAAAGCACCTATTTGTGTACTCCAAAAGGTCTGTGCGTCTAAACTTTAGTTTCTTTCTTTTTTAATTTATTGATGTACTGTTTGTTTGCTTAGGTTTGGGTTTTTTTGAGCACAGGTTTCGTACGTGTATGATTATCGAACCGTAGGCATCCCTGACTCGTGTTATCTGCTTAAACAAAAGCGATCATTTATGATGATAAAACTTGTCTTAAAGCTTCTGTTATTTTTCTGTTGCTTAGCTGAACTGCATGCTTCCAGACAACGACTTATTGCCAATGTTTTTTTGTTTGGTTGGGTTTTTTTGGGTTTTTTATTGTATTGCACAGAGATTCTGCAAAACCGAACGGCCTTTATTTTCCTTCGCACCTGCAGATCGCATGATCGCGCTCATTTTTTTTGCTAGTTTGTCCTCTCCCGGCCCTCCTGCCTGACACAGCAGCAGTATTATTTAAGTGTCCATCTGAGTTACTTCAGAAACTGTCTGGTGTGTATGTTTTGGTTTGAAGAGACAGCATGTTTGCTCTCATTTAAGTGGCCCTTAAATACGCCTAAGGAGGATTTGATTTTGTTTTCCACCCCCTGTCTCTGTGTCAAAGGGCATGTTTCAGTTCACTGTGATGTCTTTTGTGTTTTGTGCAATGTTGCCGACTGTCATTTTGGGTTTTTTTGGGTTTTTTTAATTAACATGCTGTCAAATAGTGTTGGAATAAATAAATAAATTCACCTTCATAAGCACTCATGATCTCTTTTTACTTGTAGTAAAATTGCTTACAGTAACTCTAACTGGGGTCATATCTATCTCTCTTGGTGTTGCTTCAATTAAAAAGTGGATGAACACAAAATACCATGTTAATTACTGTTCAACCTGTGTTACTGCATACTACATTATTGTTGAAGAACTTGTAAATAGTTTGCATTGAACTTGCATAGGATCTTGTTACTGTGGCGTGCTCTTTTTGCCTGTAAAATTCTGCTTCTAAATGTGTGTGACTGTTGAGACGACACTCTTTTTGTACATGACTGTCTTTTTATTTGAGGATATTGATTCTGTCCTTTTTCATTCGAAAGTTGAGTTTGAAGAGTTCAGACATGCCTGAAGTTTGACTTTAATAAAGCTGTACTCTGTCTCAGTGAAACACTCCCACTGTGTGTGGCTTCTTTTTTTTTATTGTTTGGTGAGAACAAAGTGAACCAGAGCAAAATGCATCCAGGGGCAAATTCTTACCACTCTGCAGTGGAGTTATTATACAGTCGTGGCAAAGAGAAAATAGATCATGCTATTAACCTTCTAAGACCCAAACTCTTTCATGGCATGCATTTTAAATTTTTCTTTGCTATTTGAGCTGATTGGTACCTGATGAATGTAAAAACAAAAAATTACCAGATTTATTTTTTTTTTTTTTTTTACTGAATTTTGTTCCTTAAAAATAGATCCACATATGAGGATATTTATTTTAAATTTTGATAGAACAGTGGCAGCATAATGTCCTTGTACGTGGATATCAGGCCTTGTAGAGGAAAATTAAGTATTTTGGTCTAGACATCCTAAAATGTGATGTCCACATATGTGGACTCCAGGTCCTAGGATGTTAATGTCAAAAACTAAAATCCAAAAGTAGCGTGTGATTGTAGAACTGCCTTTAGCAAGTGTGAAATAAAGTAATCATGATCTGTATGAGTTTATCAGTTTCTCAAAGCATAATGGAGGAATTTTGGCCCATTCCTTACAATTTCAGACATTTTAATTGGGTTGAGGTCAGGTTATTATATAGTAGATTTTGTGCTTTGGATCATTGTCATGTTGCATGACCCAATTTCAGCCAAGCTTTATTTATGACCTCACATTAGACCCTAGAGTACTTTGGTAAACAGAGGCTTATAGTTGACTAAGTGACTGCTAAACAAGCACCAATCATCCCCATGTTTGATATAAGGTGTTTGGATTTCTCCAAACGTCCTGCTGTGTTCAGACATCTCCACTTTTTTCAACATTTTCAACTTTCTCCTAGCAGCACATACTGTTGTGAATTTTTACATTTACCATGCTAACTGAGGAATGCATCTTGTATAACTTCTTTGCCACTATCTGATCATTTTAAGAGTTACACAACTTGCCT